TGATACTTGTGCATGCTGCCAATGTACTACGTCGCCTGCTTTCAGCGGGATACTGAAAACCTTCTTCCGTCGTCTTGACGCGTCCGCCAAGTGCTTGCGTGCCTTTTCGTGTGTGTGTCAAACGGAGTCAAGAAGCTTGCTGACGTAATCTGCAACCGATGGGTGCACTTGTTGTGATACCGGTACTCGAGCATCCGAGGGCAGCCAAACTTCTCTAAGCTTCCACCTAAAGGACGGCATTTGTCCGGTAGAAGATTTGACCATACCGCGATAGGCCAATAAGCATTTAGGCACCACTCATAGACGTTCTTGTCCACCAACGCCTTCAAGGTTGACTTCAACGACCGATTCGTGCATTCAGCTCGTCAGTTCCCCTGTGGATGGTAGGCCGTTGTCCGCGGTTTAGCGATACCGAGTGCTCTACTCATCTCCTGGACCAGTGAGCTTTCGTAACATGGTTCCCTATCGGAATGCAGTTGCCCAGGCGCTCCCCATGGGCAAACCCAGTGGTTAGTCATCGTGGTTGCCACCATGAGATTTTCAACCTGCACGACTGGCACGGCATCACACCAGTTGGCGAAGTTGTATACCGTGACTAGGATGTAGCGATTCCCTCGCTGCGTTTCCGGTAGCGGACCGACGAGGTCTACTCCAGGTATTTTGTTCGAGTAACCCACTGTCTTGAATTGTGGGGGTGCTTTTTAAGCAAAATACGCGAATTTTCTGACGTCGCACATCTTTCGCAAGTTTGGCAGAGGCCGACAACGTCTCTTTATGGATGAGCCCACCAGAAACGCCGGCGCCGCCGATTCGTGTTAATTGATCCCAGCTTGTCCCAGCTGTTGGTGCAGTTCAGACAACGTTTCCCTAACTAAAGCCTGTGGAACCACCATCCTCCTCAGGTAAGTCAGGCCGTAACCGAAGACCAACACGCTCTCTTCGATGGCGATCGTAGCACACGTTGCCCACAAGCACCAAGCTTCGTAGCTTTACTTATCCTTTGTTTTGGGTGCTGACTTGTCCCTTCCCGAGCGCCGCTCGTGATAGCAAAGTGATATATGTGGTTTCGAAGCCTGTGTTTCTTGCCAACGACCATACTCGGCTTTTGTAATTTGACTAGCGCTACGTGTTGCGTAATGCAGGAAGGACAATTTTCGTGAGATCGTGTAGGAATCCTCGATAGCGCGTCCGGGTTGCCGTATTGTTTACCAGGCAGGTTATGACATTCAAATTCATACTAATTTAGCTACGCTTCCCATCGACGACCAGACCTTCAGGGTCCCTGAAGTTCTGTAACCACCTGAGTGATTTGTGTTATGTCCTTACTACTAATATTTTCCTCACAGCTAGTGCCGATTTTGTTTTATGTGAAACACCAACGCCAACATTGCTTATCTTGCCGTACAATAATTTCGTTCTCTTGACCTACGGCTTCTACTACTGTATAAAACCACCATCTTATTTATTTATTTATCTTGATGCCATTCCGTCCTTTTTGTGACAAAACCGCTCCAATGGCCTGAGCACTGACATCCGTGACCAAACTAAACTCCCCAGCTTGTGGTTAAAAGTCTGGAAAGATTAACACGGCGGCGGTACACAGACCTCGCACACGATCGGAGCCCGCTTAACATTCAACAGTGTAATCGAACCTGCGACCATTCTGCACAAGCGCGATTATATTGGCCGCGACTGCCCAGAACCCTTTGATGCATCGAAGGTAGTACAACGCCAGCCCTAAGAAACTGCATAAATCCTCGACATTAATGAGGATTGGCCAAGCCTTAAGCTGAGCTGTCCTGCGAGGATCTGTCCGGACACTTGCCCTAGTGGTGCTGCACTCGAGATAAGTAAGTTCTTGTAGTAAGTGACGTCATTTGGATTGGAGTTTCAAGCCTGCATTGCTTAGACGGTTAGCGATTCGGCTAAATGTCTTAGGTGTCACTCTTTCGTTCTCTTATGTACGATAACATCGTCTAGATAGATGAGACCCATGTGGGGAACTAAATTGTGAAGTACTTTCTGCATAAGACGCTGAAGACTTGCAGGCTCGTTTGCTAGGCCGAAAGGCATTGTTTGAAATGCATAACGGCTTGAAGGGACTAAAAGTGCTGCCTTCGCGCGGTCACTCTCTTCAACCCCGACTTGCCAATAACCAGACAACAAATCTAACGCGTGGAAATAAGCTGACCCTCCGAGCTAGCCGAAAAGGTAATCAATTCTTGGCAGTGGATATGGATCCCTCCGCGTGACTTCCTTTAGCAGCCTATAGTCAACCCACGGCATAAAATCACCGTCTTTCTCCCTTACCAAGACGACGAGGATGCCCGTGGAGAAGTGGAGGGTCGTACAACCTCCTTCAACATCTCGTGTATGTGCTTTTGCATCTCGCGTAGCCAGTGCACTAAGATCCGTCTTGGGTGAGTCTTAATCGGAGTCACGTACCCAATGTCGGTTTGCTGTTTCACGAGGCTGGTGCGGCCCAGGTCTCTCGTCGGCCAGGCGAATGCATCTGCGTGGGCTAGCAGCAACCTTTAGAGCCTATGCAACGTTTGCTCGTTCTTTGGCAGTTCGAGTGAACGGATAAATGTGGCTACCCAGTGTTGCTCGTCAGAAGGGCTCCCACAAATAGTAAACGTTTAAAGCCTGCCGCCCTGGCCTCGTCTGTGCAATACAACGCAAGTGTCGGTGATCGACTAAATAAATAAATAAATAAATAACTATTTTATTCTCGACTATGCGAGGCACGCCTACGGAGGCATGATCAGGTATGTGCAACTGTACAGACATCTTATGGTAACTGTAACGATGACAGTAGCAAATTGTTCACATAAATAAATAGTTTGATCACAAATTCATTGAGACACACCAAACCAGGCGTGATCAAGGTTTACAGGCAGTTGCGTATCACGACGGTACTTCGGGTTCAATCGTTTATAGTTGAAACTGTTAAGGCACCATAAGTGCAATGTAACAGTGCTTGTAGACGGAGCGTAACATATTCTTGCACGTGCCGGGAAGAGTTGAGGTATGAAGCTAATCGACTTACCAATATCTACTTGTGGCAGTGACTTTATTCAGTGGCGAGTCACATACGCCACGTCACAGTATTGTTAAGCAGACATTTGTGGCTTTTTATAGGGAGAACGCTTGCCAGGCGAAAACCCACCACGTCCTTCAACTCTGCCGTAAGGCATTTTGAACATTAATGTATGACTGGCAAAGCCGACTGACATCTGTTAATATCTAAGTGACATCTCACCCGCCTCAATAAATCCATTCTAAGGCTTACAGCAAATGGAATGTTGTCAGCGATAATAAACTCGTGGCGGAACTTCTTATTAACAACGTGCGCCCTAACCGTGCTAGGTTGCCGAATCAACTGAGGTTGCTCATTAGCAGCGGTCAGACGATAGCAGCATGGCGTCCACACACAATCCGCCAGCGGATTGGTTGTGTTAGACCGGACTAAGCTGATGCATGTTCCTGTGTCAGTTAGACCTACCAGTGGGACTGCTGCTATCATTAGCTCTACTGTTATTGAGAATGCGGTCGTTGTGCATGTGACAGCGGTAATGAAAACTGACGTCACACGATCGCACCCCCTTGTGGATTTCGGCTGCCACGGCTTGACTGGAAATGTCCTCTTCTTGGTGGTGGAGGGCGAGGCCTTCGGAACTTCGCTTGTACCGGTGGGGGCGAGTAAAACATCGATAAAGAACCCTTTAACAACTCCTTCGTTCTGGTGGCTTGAAGGAAGCGTGAGTGCATCCTTTCAGCGCACAACGTTGTTCCATAGTGCCGATTGACGCATCTACTTGCTCCAATTGGTCCGGGAGGTCCAGGGCTGCCTGGTGCCAAGTAGGGCAGGGTGAACGAAACTCCCTTTTTCGCGAGGGTGTTTGGCTGCCTTCGAGCAACTGCTACAAAGCATGTTTGTCCTGTTCTTCGTGCATCGCATCTGCGTAGGCAGTTATTGCCATCATCCGCAGTTCGAAAACGTATATTCCTACCTCTACCCCCGGTCTTTGATGCCGAGCACCAAACGTTCTGCGCACTTTCGTGATGATCTCTACATCAAATAACTTACTATCCGCAACGTTATCATGTGCCTAGACTGCTAGCAGGCCCATACTAACAGTACCACGATGTGAAGCCGGAACCTGCTGGGTGTACATTTGCACTAGTTTTTCCATCAGAGACATGGCTGGTAAAATTTTCAGGGAGGGGCAACGGGGTGTGGAAGGGGCTGGGTTCAGGTGCATTGTCATCTTCTGCATTGAATTCGACAAAAATTCCGAAGCTAAAGTAACCCTTACACACGGATCTGAAGCCAGCGGCCGAATTTCTTCCTCGGATTGATTAATTGGCGTTGCCGTTAAGCTTGATCCTGGCCGAAGGACAGTTATAACACACCGAACAGGGAGAACTACAAGGATTGAGGCGGAACGTCTAGTACGCAATACGTAGGCTCTATAAGGAAGCGTCAATGTAACATAAACAGGAGTGAAAGAAAAATACAGTTTACTGTTCTCTCCAGGTTCTTGTAGTTCTTAAGTAATTGCGCATTAATGCCGTTCTGAAAGACGGAGGAAATAAAGGTGCCGTCAAAGCAACAATTCATGTTCGACCACGCGCCAGCTAGTTTCGTTCATTCGTTACATTTGTTCATTGCCCGTAATTGGTGTTACATTTGCCGCCAGCGTGACAATTGCGCCAAAAACTATTCAAACAACTACGAGGATTTGTGAGGTTGAAAATAATAAACGTACTACACTTGCTAAGTAAAACAACTTATTTGAACATATTTTTATAGCGACACACTAAACCACTGAATCCTTCCCGTCACCCCAGCAATCTAACCAACACTTAATCATAATTAGCCAAATAAATGTAAGTGAATAGCAACAGCGTAGTTGTACAATTATATAGATTTTTGGTTTAGGCTTTGTAAGGTCTTAGCCAACGCGAGATGCTTTTGTTTGCCCAACTGAAATAATGCGAAAGACCAAGGTAGCGATTACCGCGAAATTGGTGTTCATTATATTTTACCACCGGTTTGATGTCGAAGCCTAAAGTAGGCATCAACGGATTTGGTCGCGTTGGGCGAATGGTCCTTAGGGCAGCGATTGCAAAGGGTTTAATTGACGTCGTTGCCATAAATGATCCATTTATAGACCTTAACTACATGGTGTATATGTTTAAATACGACTCTACTCACGGGACGTTTTCGGGTGAAATCACTGTCCACGAGAAAAAGCTATGTGTTAATGGAATGCTTATTTCGGTGTACAACGAAAGAAGCCCTGAAACGATTCCATGGGACAAAGATTTAGCTGAATATGTAGTTGAGTCAACAGGTGTATTTACAAATGTTGAGAAGGCACAGGTATGCGTAGCTATGCATTGCTTCTAATTGTGTTAGGCTCACTTGAAAAACAACAGAGCGAAAAAAGTCATTATAACTTCACCATCACCAGACGCTCCGATGTTTGTCCTTGGCGTCAACCATGAAAACTATGACAGGTGCATGAATGTTGTATCAAGCGCTTCGTGTGTAACAAATTGTCTTGCTCCACTTGCCAAAGTAATCCATGAACATTTTGGAATTGAAGAGGGGCTGATGACTACTGTACATTCCTACACCGCAATACAAAAGGTAGTCGACGGTCCGTCTTCTAAAATGTGGCGCGATGGGCGGGGAGCTGGACAGAATATTATTCCTGCGTCGACCGGTTCGGCAAAAGCTGTTGGAAAAATTATTCCGTCATTAAATGGAAAGATAACTGGTATGATTTTCCGTGTTCCAACACCCGACGTTTCTGTCGTTGATTTCACATGCAAACTGTCCAAGCCAGCTACCTACGATAAAATTAAAGCTGCAGTGAAAGCTGCTTCCGAGGGTCCTTTGAAAGGCATACTTGAATATACAGAAGATCAAGTGGTCAGTATGGATTTTAAAGGCTGCTCTGCTTCTTCAGTATTTGACGCAGAAGCCGGATTGCAACTCAGTGATACATTTGTGAAACTCATAGCATGGTAAGAATATAACCTGTGTATCCATGTTTTGTAGGTATGACAACGAATATGGATACAGCTGTCGGATAGTCGATCTCATTGCTTATATGTACTCAGTCGAGCATTGAACCAACTCCCATTGTACCTCAGTCGGAATACCTGATAGCTTCAACTGAATGCTGGTGGCTTGTCAGCCAGAGCAAATCCTTGAACAGAAGCATTTAGATGCTAGAACCCATTGCACTGCTGCACCATTCTGAGCAGTAATGGTGATTGTCCTGAGATAAACATTCTCAGGCAGATGTGTTAATGAAATATATAAATATATGTGCCAACGTATCTGAGCCATCTAAATGTTGATTTCTGGTTTGATCGCAAGTATCTGCACAATTTATTATGGTTTAGTAAACGCTACCTTTAAAATTAGCAACTTACTAGTTTTAAGCACACTATTCTCCTTGAATTTCTCCTTTGTGTCCTAATCAAAAAGCGATAAGTTTCCTTTTATGTCTTATTCAACACTGGATCAATAAACTATTGGCAGTGCCACAACAAATAGTTAACAACAATGAAAAGAGGAAAAATAGGTAATCTGTAGAAAGGTACGGAAAGTTTAGTAGGTTATTTTGGGGTGTGGGCATAGATCTTCCCGGTTGCCCAGGAGATGGAAGTGGGTTGAGTTAAGGGACCCCACCCCGAGCTCCTTGTCATAAAGGCGTGATCCGCAAAGCAGAGCGGAGCGATTAACGAAGACCGTTGATAGCCGGATAGCTCATTCGCCTTCTTTGTGTTCAGTAGCAGTTCACAAAGAAGCCGGTGACCGATAAGTTTGTTTATCTGCCCTCCGTTAGGTGCTCACTTCTACTTACAGAAGTGAGTGTACAATGCCCCTATAGCCGGTCATATTGGTTTTGACAAAGCGGGGTACAAGCTCTTGTGGTATTTGCTAGATAACCAGATGACCGATTCAGCACTCCCCATGCTCTGAGACGTTGTCGCTGCTTGTCCGCGACTGCTTATTCATCCCGTCTGCAAGAAAAACGAGACTTATTGTTGGTTACCACCACAAGGAATGCCTTCGCCAATCCGTAATCCGGAGACGCACTTGAAAGCGTACAGCTCTGCCAAGCGCCGTCTAAGCTTATAGTAACAATGTGTCGCAAACTGTGTAGGTTGTATGACCTAAATATGTTAAAAGGTATGTTACGCAGCAGTAATGTCAGGAGTTGTTTGTGACTGAGCCTGTTGCGTACCAGTTTAAGAGATGGTCTCAACTGTTTTACAAAGCACTGTAGCTAAGGGAGGCGCAGACAAGAGGTTAGGCTAACCGATGAGTTTTATCCAGCTACGCGCTGCACATAGATATGACGCTAAGTAAATCTGTCGTTGATCGCAAGCAAGGCTGGATATCCTATCTAGTTGCAATACAGTAACTGAGGTGCTTTCCACCTCTGAGTAACATGTATAATGAGGATAAGGATATCCAGTGAGCGTTTTTGGTCTAAGCGGCGTGTATGAAGATTGGCTAATAGAGCATCTTATAGGCGTTGTGAGGCCAGTTAAGAAACTGGTATTGTCAGGTCACAGATTTTATTTGGAACACCAACCCAGCAATACTGCTGGCGAATGTGTGGCCATCACTTTATAGAAGTTAGAGTTTTGGGTCATATTAATTGACTGAAAGGTGTTCAGTTGTTATACGACAAAGTACAACAATTAATAGTACCTGCGCAGGAAAGCCTAAAGCCCAGCAAGTTAAGCTACTGACAACTATGTAGCTATAACCTAGCAGGCATTACGCCAGCGGCGCTTGAGTTTTAGCTTTTACGACCTGGTTGCATCAATTCTAGTAGGAACGATTAAGAATACCCTGGCTAAAAGTAAGGAAGGAACCTGGCGGTCACCGTGTTACCCATACAACGCTAACCAAGAAGCCTAAAACCGCACAATAGATGTACGTGTAAGGAGAATTAACCATGGGCATTTGCTGAAGGCAAGTATATGTCTAGATTCGGACGCTCGTGGTGTATACGCACGTACATGCCTTTATTACAAATTCTGGGTAATCTAAAGCTCTGGCAAACGTTTTATTTGCCAACTACATATCTGTTCTGACCATTGCACGTAATCGAGTAGAGATATCAGAGGGCTAATGGAGTTGATCACAACGGACTATGTTTGAGGGCCACAAGCAAAGGTGCCATAATGAACTGAACAGGAGCGAACGTCAGCCTACTAACTCATTGAGCAGGGGAGTGCTATGGGATATACAGGATGGATCAGGAGCAGTAGAATATTAACAAATACTCTACAATTAAGCTGTAATAAATTTATCTGTTAAGGTTTTTTGGGAGATTTCTTGTGTTTGAAAGTCACACTGAAGACAGACTCAACCAGACAGGCACTACACATCTAGGAAAGGGATATTCGGCTGTTTTGACCTATTTGGACTAGTCACTAATGAACATCTGTTGGACCTGAACCCTTAACTTTAGGCTTATGAATCAGCGCTAATGCAGAATGAACCACGCTGTATTGTTATTAATAAACAGCCATTGGGACTACCTACGTCACCCATGGCTCGGTTGCATAATTTCCTAACTCGGTAGAGTAAAGTTGCAGGTTCGGCTTCTACGGATGCACGCCACTGACTAGTTTCAATAGGACGAAACGGCTATCTATTGTTTTTCTAACTTTGTGGTGACGGTCTTGCTGAGTGTAACTTCGAGGACTTTTCCGGAACTGTTATATAGGAGACAAGTAATACATATTATGACGATCCAGCACTGCACCATAGCATGCTGAACCTAAAAGGCTTTCAGTGCCAAAACCGAGGCCAGCCGCGGTTTATAAAGCCAATTCATGCCTACCAAGAATTATTGTGGATGTTTCTGTCAAAGGTAGCTTCGTCGACATTTTAGTCCGTTATGCCTTTTGTATTTTACTTTTTAACTAATTATGGAACAGGGTGCGTCATGGCAAACGACTGGAGCCGGCTTGTCGGGTTATAAATTATTGGCTGTTCCATGAAAACGTGATGGAGACCTTAATGTGTGCTGCTGATTAGCTCTGGGCTTGAAAAAGGACTTTTTCTGCCGCACTCCGCCAATAGGCAATACGACCCCTTTCGACGAGGTAGGTCCCAATTTTGCGTTTGGTGTCCTAGTGACTGCGGTGAACTTCGAACGCGTTGACCGTGTGGGCAGGTTGGACGAAAATAATAGTTTAATCATGTTAGGGCTATAAAAAACACCGGGAAAACAATTCAAAAATATGAACGAAAATGTTAGAGTTTTATAAAGTAGCCGTTTTTGGAAACATTGGATGTGTTGGTTTACGAAACGTTTTTTACAAACAACAGGACAAAGCTGCATTAAAGTTACATATCTACGCTTATCTACATTGTGCTTTAATCGAAATAGTGAATACTTTAACGAACCTAATGACCATAGCGCTTGTTTTATGAGGCAGCATGTCAGATTTGGAAGATACTGTTGAAACAACTGTAGCCTGTTGACCAGAATCGGCGTCTAGTTCAAGAATGCTTGTAGCTAAAAGTAGCGCGGTTACAGTTAACATCACCCAACGCATTGCAAGACTATGAAGACTTGTGGTTTTCTCCATGAAGACTTGTTTTATTCGATCAGTGGGGACAACTTAGTGTCATCATCATCATCGTCATCAACAGCAGTACATCAGCCATTTGAACTGATGCTTCGCTGCCATACAACCATGAGGGCCTATAAAATAAAGAATAAGAAGAGGGAGAGAAGGGGGACTTACCTGAAAACCTTAATGCCCTAAGCAAACATTCAGGGTCAAGGCGCCTGCACCTTGTGTAGACAACATTCCGTCACAAACAGCTGGCTATTGTGAAAGATAAGGCGGCATCGGCGAGACAGCTTCCTTGCGGCTTTCACTGCCACGCGTCATAATCAGCCATTACCCCGCAGATAACTCAGCACCAAACACACTTTAAACAGACAATCCGATTAGGAGACGGCAGCAGACGCGCCACTGGTGTCGATTGCGAGCCATGTCCTGTAAAGTCTCGAGCCAAGCACAAGGTGAGTCACGTGGACTCCAACCCGAAAGGCGAGACGGACCAACGGCACCCAGTTTGGTCGTCAGTGACTTCAGTTCCCGCTGCCAAGTCAACTTCTGTCCACCTCGAGCCTTGCGCCACCCTACACCTGGTAGACTGAACAAGGCCCTCCTAGGTAAGCGGTGACCAGGCATGCGTAGCACGTGCCCGAGCCAACGCAACTTATTCAGTGCTATCTGTTGTTCTAGGGAGCTAGCATGATCATCATCACCTAGTACTCGCCTACGCACATCATCGTTGCGGACACACTGGTGCCATCCGACACCAGCAATGCTTCGTAAACAACGATGATCAAAGACTTGAAGACGCCGCAGATCATCAGAACGAAAGGGCCAAGTTTCACTACCATACAGCAGAACGACCCTCACTGTGGCCTTGTATACACGGCCTTTCAGACGGAGGGAAACTCCCTTCTGTCGCCAAAGATAACGCAGGTTCAAGAAGGCAGCTCTGGCCTTTGCAATGCGTGAGCTCACGTCAGTTTCTATGCGCCCATCATTGCTGATACAGCTGCCAAGATAAGTGAAATGATCAACCACCTCGAGTTCCTCGTTAGCAAGGGTCAAGGGGTCATCAAGTGGCTGGTGGTCCTGCAGCAACACTTTGCACTTTGAAGGTGCGAAGTGCATACCAAATAATGGGACCACTCTGGATAGGCTCTTCAGGGTTGATTGTGCCGCCGCAACATCATCGAAAAGCAAGACGATATAGTCCGCATTATCTAGATCAACTAACCTTTCACCAGGCAGCACCTTAACGCTTACATCGTGAGATTCCGCAAGGGAACGCTCCATGATAGAATCCACGACGAAATTGAACAAAAACGGGGAAGTCGGACAAACCTGACGAACGCCACTTGTGCTCGGAAAGGTATCCGATAGGACACCATAGACCCTGACGTGGCCTGTAGTGTTCGTGTATAGAGCACGAAGGATGTTCACATATTTCGAGGGAACACTTTTCCGCGCAAGTAATTCGAACAGAATCGATCGAACGGCTGGATCGAACGCACTCTTGAAATCGAGGAACACATGTATTGTCGGTCTGCGGTATCCGTGGCGCTGCTCTAGCACCTGCCGAAAAGTAAATATATGGTCTATATAGCCACGTCCTGGGCGAAAACCGGCCTGCTCTTCCCTAATCCGAGATTCCCGTTCCGCAGTGAGGCGACGAACGATAATCGAGGCCAGTAATTTTGTCACAACTGGCGTTAGGCTAATACCCCTGTGGTTCGCACAGTCTGTG